CGGGAGCCGGGGCTGCCCGGCTGCCCGCGGCAACCCCCAGTCTGGGGCTGGCGGGCGGCTGAGCGTGGGTGACTGTGGTGGCAGGCACTGAGGTGACTCTGGCCATGGTTTCTGACTGGAGGTGTTGGTAACAGCAGGAGGAGAAGCTGCTTAGGTGCTGGCTTGACAGCTCTGCAATGCCATGTGCCCCGGGGGCAGGTCCCTGAGGGCAGGGGCCACAGTCCAGGGTGATTCTCAGGCTGGTAACTGCAGCAGAGGGACCGAGCCCCACTGTAAGGCAGTACTAAGCTTGCGGAGTTGCACAAGTCATTGCTGGTGACTGGAGCCCTGTTGGGCTGCAGCCTGCATCCCCTGGGGAGCAGCCTCAGGGGTACTGGGGAAGCAGTGAGCTCCACTGGTCCGTGCATCGGGGAAGCAAGTGACATCGTGTTGCTTGAGCTGGAGGCAGGAGAGTGCTTCTGACTGCATTTGCTTTTGACAGTGCTTCCACCACCTGCCCTAACCCAGCCAGTGCACCTCGGCACCCCTGGGAGAGGGAGGACTCCATGTCCCACCTGCCAGCCCCACACTTCCCACTGTCCCGCTGCCTTGTTGGAAGAGTACCTGGAATCTCCCTGGTCTTCTTCAATTGCCCAAATGAGGCCTTTTACACCAGCAGGGTCCCTGGCCACCACACGTCCGTGCACAGATGGGTACCATGGTGCCTCGGGTAGCTCTGCAGGGAATTGTCCCCACTGCGATGGAGGTGTCATGACTTCTGGTAGATTTATGCCATCCCACAGCCCTCTGGGCTTGTCCTCTGGTCCCTGGCTATGGGAGACGCCCCCAGACATAGGAGCTCTGGCTCTGGCACCATGTCGCATGTTGCTGTGGGTTGGGAAAGGCCATTGACCCAACTCCTTGTCCCTTCCCCCAGTGCACTGGCTTTTACTGCTGTTGACTCACTTGAAACCTGTTTTCTTTCCCCAAGTCCAAGGGTCTGGGTGTCCCAGGCAGCCGGAAGATGCCGCCTGCTTGGGGGGGTGGGCAGTGCTGCTCTCTGCCCGCCTTTCCTTTATCGTTTCATCTTCCTCAAGAATTCCAGTGTGTTTGCTCTCGCTGGTCCCACTCGGAGGTGCTGAGATAAGGCTGGAGGCAGAGCCCGCCTCACCTCTCCCCGGCAGCCTGGCCCAGGAATGTCCCGGGCCCCCTGCCCCCAATGAGTCCCAACCCCAAGCCTCTCCCTACCCTAGCCATCACCCCTTGAAGACACTGTTTGCCCAACTGGCATGGAGACCATCCTTGCAGTGGTGAGGAATTTCTCATGGAGATCTTGGGATAGGACTCTTGGCTCGCTTGGGAGAAACCTCACCCAGAGGGGGGAGAAGATAGTCGGACCCCTTTTCTCCTGGCCAGGCTCTGGACACGGGGGTAGCTGTGGCCAAGCACGCTCCATCTATAATCCCTCTGCTGAGACTGTGGTCACACCTGAGTGTCCTGCGTACCTCCCCTGAGATGGCCCTGGGGTCGTTGTGGACGGTGCCCTGTCTTGAAGCTGTGCCTTTCTTTTAGACATGCTGCCTTCCCTAAAGGGGTTTGGCTTTTCCCACAGGGCACGGTCCTGTCTCCAGTCTGGATAAGAGCAGGGAGGTGCCAATGTTTGTCAGTGAGGGGAACATCTCTGCTCAGCCCAGCCCAGCCCAGCATCTCCACAGTCTCTACCATGACATGCATGGGACAGCACAGAGCCACCCAGCTCAGCATGGTGGCATGGGACTCCATCCTGCATGTGGCCTGGGGGTCCCCACTCCACACACTGTCACCACCCGCCTTTCCCCCAAACCCTGCTATATGCCTGTTGCACGGGTTTCAGCCTCCTGGCTGGGCACCAAAACAGCACTGGGACTGGCAAGCCATGGCCAGGGCTCAGTGCCACATGGCTGAGCTGGGACATCCCGCTCCAGCCTGGGCCCCGCAGCGCCCGAGGGATGTGGTGGCATTTCCACATCTTTGCCATCACCTTAGGAGACCTTGTGCTCACCCCCGAGCAAGAGGTGCACTCAGGCAGGCATGGTCAGCCTGGTTCCTGAGGATGCTGTAGCCCTGCTGGGAAGTGTGTGGGGGACGAGGCGGGCTCTCCCTGCAGCCCCCGGCAAGCACAGAGCCTGCAGACGGCCCTTGCCCACGGGTTTCTTGCTCCCTGCCTACCTATCTGTGCAGGCAGCAGAACCTCTGGGCAGGCAGTGCCCGTCCCTACCTGCTCCCTGCCCATTGCTGCCTGCTCCTTGCCCATCCCTGACCATCGCTGCCCGTTGTTGTCTTCTCCCTGCCTCCTCTGCCTGCTCTTTGCCCATTCCCACCTGCTTGTCCTTGACTATCGCTGCCTGCTCCCCGCTTATCACTGCTCATCCCTGCCTGCGCGCTCCTCATGGCTGCCTGTTCCCTGCCTGCCAGTGTCTGCTCCCCACCCGTTAGTACCCGCTCCCTCCCTGCCTGTCCCTTG